GTGGGACTCAATGTGAGGCTGTGCAGAACACAGGCCAGGACCAGACCTAACAATTGCTGCCCAGTATCTACCACCTCCCAATTAGGGCACAACCCGAGCTCCCCCAACCCAGCCTACACCCACTGAATTACCGAAAGAGATGTCTCAGCTTGACCCTGGGTCTAGATGTTTCCTGCCTACCAAGTGTCCTGCTACCCTGCTCACAAGCTCTCAGCAGCCCTGAGGCCACACTGACACCATTTCCCTATGTTGTAGGTCTGCTGGTCCCCTGCCAACCTGGCCTTCCTCCTGCAAACCTAGTCCCCTGTCACTCCTGACCCTGGCCCGACACTCATGAAGCCTCAGGAAGAACCAAGATACCAAGCCCAGAGGAGGGGTAGGGGTAAGGGCCTGAAAGGACTAGACCTCTTACCTTTTTCAGGAGGCAGATCCCCCTGCAGGGAGCTTCCCACAGCCTGCTGAATGGCCCGCTGAGAAAGGGGGGATTAAAAATCAGGGGTGTCAGGGAAGAGACTTCTGTAACCTCTGCCAGGCAGCCCACAGCCAGACCACGGGCCCTACAGGGACCCATTTCCTCCAGGTTCCAGACCCTCAGCCCCAGCTGTCTTACCAGGATAAAGGCAGAAGGAGAAAGGGCAGGATCTCTGTCAGGTGGACCGTCGCCCCGATCCTCTCCCGACTCCTCTGCTTTACCTCGAGACTCATCTTCCTCCTCCATGGTCACCTGGGGTTGAGGGCGACAGTGTGGAGTGAAGCAAGCCTCCAGCGCCGCCTCCACTGCGCCCTCCTTTAGTGGCCCTCTCTTCCTGGCGACCCTGTACTTGGTCCCATGCTGCCCTGCAGGGACTAGAGCCATTCTCGTCCTTCTGGATTTCAGCCGCCTCCCCTGGCAATGGGGGGGGGGGGGCTCTCTGCCACCTGCTCTCACATCTGGCCCTGCACTTCCCAGTTTCCCAAGGCACCTAGTCAAAACGCACATTCCCCAACCCAACCAGGTAGATGCAGACTCAACCATGACTCTGGGTCTCATGATTTTACGAGTGTGCTTCAGTCTCAGAAGCCCACCTTCCCCACAGTGGGGAACACGCCAACCTGCTCAGTGGTACTCTGGGACAGGTACCACAGCTTCACATAGCATCCGCCACCCTCCACGGTGACGAACCAAAGAGTTTTATTTCTAGGCATGAAATACAACTATGAGAGTGTGGTCTACACAAGCACCACATTGCTTTTAAAACAAAAATGCCAAGTTCCAGAAAGGCATGCTGTCCTCCCGGCCCCATTGGGACACTTGCCTATCACCCAGCTGCCTGTCCTGTGGAAGCATGGCCAAAGCCTCGATGATGTCACGGGACTTTTGAGCTTTGAGTGCCCAGTCAGGTGGTTGAAAGAGCATCCTTCAGACTGGTGGATGTCTTGATTGAGGCTTCAGAAAATATGAACATCACAGCTGTAAGCCTCCCCACAGCTGTCAAACCTGTGACCCTGAACACACCTAATCTTGGGAATTCCTAGAAGCTCTGGGCTCCTTACTAACCCAAACCCTGTGCTTATCTGAAAATGGCAAAACAGTAGCCTCTATCCCGCTCATTTGCACAGACAATGACTGGATACACATTAGCAGTAATTGTATCACTAGCCCTGAGACCAGGCTTTCCCGTTTTGTCTCAGCCTGCTTCCCTGGCTATGCGTCTGCAAGGACAAGACCTAAGACCGGGTCCCAGTCCTAGCAGAAAACCATGCCCAGGCCTCCACATTCAGCAGCCTCCCAGCTGTAGCTGCCTATCTTCAGCTTCTTCCCTAATTCCCACAATCTACTCTGACAGCTCCCATATCCAAGGTTCTCTAAGCTAAATGAAGACCCCCCCCCCACCCTGTAACAACAGTTCCCTCTGGGATACAAATGCTATCCAGAGTGATGACTGTCACAAGAAACTGTATCAAAAGCCCCTGGCTGCAGACTCCCAAAACCATAGACATTATATGGCAATGCAGATCAGTGATCCCTCAATTACAGGGTTCGGGGACAAACTTACAAATAGCTCATTACGCAAAGTACATAAGACATAATGGAAAATATTTCCCAAGTTTTAAATGAAAACATCAGTATACAGGGCTCGAATAATATTAGTAAAATGCATATGTTGGCAAGTACTGAATCTCATCTAACAATGAATTTCCTCCTACCTATCAAGGTCAAGTTGCAGAGCGCTACACTAGATGAGTCCAGACAGCTCTACAGACCCTCAGGCCTCCAGGGTCTGATTCTAACTCCTCAGCACTAGGACCACACAGGTTCCTTTTGTTGCTATTTAAAGCCATTTCTAAAAAATTACTTTCTGAAAGGCAAGAACATTTGAGCTGGGTAAAATGCCTAGCACTTTCTGTTGTATTATTCTCCACACGTTTACCTAGTAACCCAAATCACTTTAATTTGCTCCAAGACAGTCTAGATCCTTGCAATCACATCAAAATCACCTGGATGACTCCAGTTCCTTCTAACTGCCCCACCCCACCCCCGAGTCACCCCACATCAAACACTTCCCAGACCTCGGAGACCCATTTATGCCTCTGGGCACATCACAACGCTTGCCTCCCTCTCCCTGGGTGGGAAAACATCTATTTCTTCCAGGTGGCCCTGAACACTTCCTAGTCCTTGAAGAGAGCTTCCAGGCCTCATAAACTGTCCCAGATCCACGTAGATGAGCCGAATGCAGAGGCCAGCAGAGGTAGACACTTCCCAGCCCTAAGAGACATACCCCAGCGATCTAGGTGGCTCTGCAGACCCCTTCACTCTTGGGACACACATCAAGATCTCAAGATGGCCCCAAAAGCCTCTCAACAGACCCTAGCCTATGGTCGCACATAAGAACCATCTACAGCGCCTGCAGGCAAGTCCGGGTTCAGCAATGCGATGGAAGGCTGACATAGGCGCGGTCCAGGCCCTATGGACGTCCCCTGGCACCCACGGGCGCGTCCCGGGCCCTAAGAAGGCCCCACACTCAGCGACTGCCTTGGACGCCGCTGCCGGATCCGAGGCTGCCACGTTATGATCTCCAGGCCCTGTGGCGTACGGGCGACACTCGGAGACGACTAGCGACCCGACTCCGCCCCGCCCACCCCGCTAGGCCCGAGCCCCGCGGCCCGGACCGCCGCCGCCATCTTACCCCGCCGCTCGGGCTGCGGCTCCGGCCCCGGCGCGGGGCGGGGCGGTCTGGGGCGGGGCTCGCGAGCTGAGCCGAGGAGGGGCGGGGCCAAATTGCCGCCGAGCTTGCTGGGATTTCAAGTACCCAGCTGGGTTTCCTGAAGGCGGGCAGGACGGAAGACGGACTCGGTTTCCCAGAAATCAACGCGCCGCATGGAGGCGGGGTCCGCGCGCCGTACGCCGGGAGACGTAGTCCTCGAGTCCCCTCCGTCACGCGGGGACAGTGTAGGGGTGAAAGGTGAAGTGGGCGGGGCCGCTGGAGCGCGCGGTAAGGCCCACCACAGTGCCCTGCGTGCGCGGGGAAAGGGCGGCGGATCAGGAAGTGATGTCAAAAAGGCGCTCCCGCTGCTGAGATGCATGGGAATTGAAGTTCAGTTGAGTGAAACTGGAATACGAGACCCTTCTCATTTTTTCCCCTCGAAAGCCTAAGGAGGCTTTTTGAGACTGGCCTGGAACTTGCTGCAGACTGTCATCGTGTCTCTGCTTCCCCAGTGCTGGGACTACAGGCGTCCGTCACCATGCCCAGTTTAAATTACTCACTCTAGGGGTATTAGAGATGGCATTTACTTAGATCCTCACACACGCTAGGTAGCGCTCTGTTATTGAGCATTACCTATAGCCCTCTTTTAGTTTTTTATTCTGAGACAATTCATTCTAAGATGTCCAAGATAGCCTTGAATTTATAATAATCTCCACTAAACCAAACCAGAGCGTCCTTACTCAGGGCAGTAGAGTCCGAAATCTGAGTCCTCTGGCTCAGAACAGAAAGTGAAGACTCACTTCCCTCCTCCCTGGGACTCCATCCTCTTCCCTTGGACCGGTTCCTTAGGTCCCTCCTGAAAGGACATCAATACTTACTACAAACCCCTCCGCAGCCCTCCCCTCGCGCTTTCCTGCCCTCGAGCCCAGAATTCTAGGTCCCCAGACTTTATCCTCTGGCCCCACAGGCTCTCAGCTTTCCCAATACCTAATCTAATATTCAGGAGCCCCTTCCAAAGCCCTGCTCCCCCAGGACCCGGTAATCCAAGTCCCCAAGTCGATGCACTCGTAGGAACCAGGTGTCTGAGTCATCAGCTGCCTCCGCCAAACCCCTGGCTGCAGGCCCTTCAGGCCCCGGACTTCCCGAGTAGGATGCGCTGGCTCATGGATTAGGAATGTGGTGATCTCACAGCCCGTCCCTGCCCCGTTACCCTGCTGTCCCCCCTCCAGGGCCCCAGCTTCCCTCCCAGACTATCTTCCGTTTGGCTGGGACACGGGGAACCGGAAGCCTGGGTCCCTGGTTGAGGCAAGACTCCAGCTTCTAGACCAACGCTGGGGCAGAAAGCTGGCGACGATCCCAGGGAGGAGGCGGAGCTTCTTTTTCGAGACCTGTGCCTTCTAAAATCTCCCTATATACGGCCCTGAACCCACGAGCCCCACCTACCAGAAATTCCCAGGGGTGGCCCTTAGATAAGTACTACCTCTTGTGTCCTTATTTGCCTATCTCCGCCCTGAAAGAACTTTCCGCCCTAAGATGGGGCTTTATTAACATAGCTCCTCCCAAAAGTGGGCTGTCTGAAGGGAGCGCGTGGCTGGGCTATGGGTGAGCACAGGTCTATATTAGCATGTCCCCGCCCCTCTTGGAACTCCCTTCTTTGCAAACTTGTTTCCCCTACTCTTATTAGTATAGCCCCGCCCTTTCCTTGGCCTCGCCTCCTCCTGAAGCATCCGGAGACGCACATCCCACAGTTCGGAGCTCATGTTTATGCAGTATTTATTAGCATACCCCACCCCTTGGTTTCTCCTGACTCCCCCCCCCGTTAGGCGGTAGAGGCGGCGGCAGCAGCGGTGGCGACATGAGCAGCGGGGCGGCGTCCGGGACTGGGCGGGGGCGGCCCCGGGGCGGGGGGCCGGGACCCAGGGACCCCCCGCCCGGCGAGACTCACAAGCTGGTGGTCGTGGGCGGCGGCGGCGTGGGCAAGAGCGCGCTGACCATCCAGTTCATCCAGGTAGTGGGCCCTCACCGGGGAGGGTGTCCCCAAGATCGAGCATTTGAGCCCTTTGGGGGGTTCCCTGAGATTTTTACTTCTTCCAGAGCCATCATTGGGACTCTTCTAAAAGGGTCTCTAATCCTAAAAGATCCCTGCAGATTGCGACTCAAAGTACCCAGGGCCTCCACCCACTTCATGCGGGGGAACTTTCTCCTAATACGTCCCGAGGGAGATCACCCTCCCTGAGGTCCCTGAGGGTCCTTATCCCAGCGGACCTGGCCCTGCTCACCTCCTGGGAGTACCCTAAATAATTGCTCCATTCAGATCCTAAGCGAGGCCCTGACCCCCGAAGCTCCAGCTTTTACACCTCGTAACCACCCGAGAGCCCCACTGGCCAGCAGCTGGGCCCTGTACTTTTGACGTTTCCACAGCTGGAGCCCTAGCCCCTCTATTCAGGAACCATTGCCCAGACTTTGGAAATGTTTGCCAAGACCTTGGTTCTAGGACTCTACTGGGACCGTGCAATCCTAAGAAGGCACCCTGTAACCTCTGCTTGAAGACGATATCCCCCTCAGACCTAAGGAAGATCCTGCCATTCTAGGAAAACACCAATATCTGGCAATACCCTATTCTGCTAAATGCAGACCCTCGCCCTCCCACCCCACCCCAAGGAAAACCTACCATTTCTTCACCCCAACTCCCTGCCCTCACCTCTGGAAACCCTGGGTAGCTCCCAGGTCATCTCCAGGTTAAGAACAAAACAAGAAAAGAAACCTTGGGTTTTTCATAACCTCCAAAGACCCACTACTTGCAAGGTCTAAGACCCATAAGTGCACCCTACATCATAAACCTACCCTCCGAGAATGCTTCAGGGTGTTCTCACCTTTGAGCATCTCCTAATGATTCTTATCGTGTGTGTCCCCCACACACACACACACACAAACCAAGCCTCATCCTCACCAGACTCTGCTCCTTCACCCTTTCCAGCCCCAGCCCTCAGCAAACACCCTCTAGAGAGGAAGCCACCTTCAAGCCCCAGCAGCCAAGTTCTGAAAATCCTGCCCAGCCCCGGAAACCTCCACCCAGTTCCCAAGGGGAGCTCCCCCAACAACCCCCCCCCACGCTGGGCAGGACAACACTAGGAAAGTGAGAGCCCTCTTGCTGCAGTAGAAGTTCCTGGGTGATAGACACACACACACACACACACACACACACACACACACACACACACAAGGACCCTCCAGCAATGCCGGAGAGAAGGCTGCAGCAGGAGGAAGAGCCCAAATCTGAGCCCTTGGCACCCAGGGCCAAACCGGGAGCTGGCCAGAGGTCTGGCTGGAGGCAGCAGGACCCAGGCAGGAAGGGAGGGGTGGGTTGAGGGTGAGGCAGCCTCTCCTAAGCAGGATTGGAACTGGCTGCTCACGGAGGAGGAGACGGGGTGGGGTGGGAGGGTGGAATTAAGATAGGTAGCTGCCCTGGTCAAGAGCTCTCAGAAGCTGACTATTGAATATCACCCGTGTTTAGCAGAAAATTCCTGCAAACCAAACGCTGTCAGGTGGTAATAGTGTGTTCATTTTCTCCAAATGAGGAAACTGAGTCTCAGAGAGGGAAAGGGAGGTTTGGAGTGACTTCGCAGCTGGGAGTAATCATGGCATATTTTATCCTGAAGAGAGCAGAGGCTCTGAGAGGGATGGGGGACGGGGGCCCATGACCTGGGCACAGTCAGTCAGAAAGACGGAATCAGAACACCCAGAGAGGCAGGGCAGAGATTCAGAGAGATGCAGAAGGAAGAGACTGGACACACAGACCAGGAGAGAGACAGACCGCGCCCACAGCAGTGCGGAGAGACAGGTACCCTGAGACCAGGGGGGAGGGGCGGACCCAGAGAAAGGAGGAAGGGAAGAGATCAAGAGAAAAAGATAGGTACAGACTCAGGAGGAGACAGGCAAAGAGATTCTGAGACCCAGAGAAAGGGGGGGGGGGAGACAGGGACCATGAGAGAGAGATTCAGGGTCAGGGGGACTCACACACACACACACACACACACACACACACACACACACACACTGCTTTGGTGACAGTGACCTCTCTCTGTCCCCCAGTCCTACTTCGTATCTGACTACGACCCCACCATTGAGGACTCCTACACAAAGATCTGCACTGTGGATGGCATCCCTGTTCGGCTGGACAGTGAGGATGGCTGGGCTTGGATGGGAGGCAGACAGCAGGGCTGAGAGGACCTCTGAGCATCCCCGGGACATCCTCGGACCCAATATTCCTCTCCCTGTCTCACAGTCCTGGACACTGCGGGTCAAGAAGAATTTGGTGCCATGCGGGAGCAGTACATGCGTGCTGGCAATGGCTTCCTGCTGGTGTTTGCAATTAATGACAGACAGAGGTGAGGGAGAGTGCGGTGGGCGTGGGTGAGCGCACCACAGGCTCCTCCCAGAGGCTGCCTGACACCACTGGCTTCTCTTGCAGTTTCAATGAGGTAGGCAAGCTCTTCACTCAGATCCTCAGAGTCAAGGACCGCGACGATTTCCCCATTGTGCTGGTTGGGAACAAGGCAGATCTGGAGACCCAGCGCCAGGTTTGGGTTGCCCCCTTCCCTGATGACCCATTCGGACCTCGGAGGCTCTCGCAGGGGAACATCTCCTACCGTGGGTCCCGAGTTCCTTCAACATAGACACAACTCCCAAGTGGAATCACATACCACTGAGCCACACCCGCAGCCACTCAGTTGGGAGATTCTCGGCAGGTGCTTTACCAATGCGTTAGCCCTCCCTGGGAGATTCTAGGCAGAGGTTCCACCATTGAGCCGTGGTCCTGAGCCTTACACTAATCCTTTGCTGCTGTTCGATAGCTGGTGTGTGTTCCCCTCTCCTGATCCAGAACGCCCTTACTTCGCGCCTGCCTGCCTCTTAGTTAGTAAAAACTTCTTCATAATCTTCCCGATGTCTCACTTAGAAAGCTTCAACCCTCTAGTGTCCTCTTCTCACGTGTTTCTAGAATGTTCTGTCCTGAGCCTGCTCAAACCGTGCTTCTGTCAGCCTGCCCTCCCCGACCCTCCCTTGTCTCCTGCTTCTTCCAGGTCCTCCGATCTGAAGCTTCCTCTTTCAGCGCTTCCCACCACATGGCTTACTTTGAGGCCTCGGCCAAATTGCGTCTGAATGTCGATGAGGTGTTTGAGCAGCTGGTCCGGACTGTCCGGTAAGTACAGGGCCCTTTCCTGGCCTCCTGGTCCTCAGCCCGCCATCCCATACTCACAGGCTGCTTCCCACAGGAAATACCAGGAGCAGGAACTCCCTCCCAGCCCACCCAGTGCTCCCAGGAAGAAGGGTGGGGGCTGCCCCTGCGTCCTGCTGTAGCCGAATAGCTCCAAGCCACCCGCACAAGCTCTCTCGGGACCAGCTGCCTCACACTTGTGTGGCCGGAGGCTCCAGCTGAGCCTCAGTCTCCTCTGGGTTCCGGGCACACTACACCCTCTACCTTCACTTTCTGGCCTCCCGGGGCCACCACTGAGTGCCTTCTTCCATACTTCCTTTCCCACCCAAGCCCCTGGTGGGATCCGGAGGTCCCTGCCACTGCTGTATATAAATAAGTCCAGTCTTTCAGAAAAATAAATATCACTGCCTACATCTGGAGATGCCTTTTACTGAGTCGGTGGGGCAGTTGCTGGAGATGAACCTAGAGTTCCATGCCTGCCAGGCAAGGGCCCAAACTCTGAGCTGCATCCACAGGCCAGATTTGTGGGGTTTTTTTTCCAAGACAGATTTTTTTTCTTTGTAACCCCAGTTGTCCTGGAACTGGCTCTGTAGATCAGGCTGGACTCAAACTCAGAGATGCATCTGCCTCTGCCTCTCGAGTGCTGGAATTAAAGATGTACGTCTCCGTGCCCAGTTCTTATTTATTTTCTAAAAGAGAGTAATAATCTGGCTAGATGACCAAGCAGGTAAAATTACTTGCTGCCAAGCATGACTTCCTGAGTTCAAACCCCAGAACCCACAAGGTAGGGAAAAAAAAAAAAAAAAAAAGAAGAAGAACCAGCCCCTGCAATTGTCCTCTGATCTAGCTCTACAGGAATGAGATAGTTTTATGTCAACTTGACACAAACTAAAGTCATCTGAAAGGAGGAAATCCCAATTGAGAAAATGTCTCCCAAAGACTCAGCTGTAGGCAAACCAGTAGTGCACTTTCTTAATTAATGACTGATGGAGGGATCCACATTTATAAGAAAGCAGGCTGAGAAAGCCGTGATGAGCAAACCAGTAAGCAGCATCCCTCCACGGCCTCTGCATCAGCTCCTGCCTCCAGGTCCCTGCCCTGCTTAAGTTCCTGTCCTGACTCCTTCAGGGACAAACGGTGCTGTGGAAGTGAGTTATTCTGTAAAACCGTTTGCTCATAAATTTGCTTTTGATCATGGTGTTTATCACAGAAATAGTAACCCTAAGACACACATCTATACACACACACACACATACACACACTAAATAGTGTCTTTGACAATTTAAGCTGGTGTGGTGGTGCATGCCTGTGAATTCTGCACTTCAAAGGCTGGGACAGGAAAATTAGATCACAAATTTAAGCCCAGTTTAAACTATATGACAAGACCCTCGTTTCAGGGGAAAAAAAGCATTATTTTTTTTTCCTGGAAAATTCTAGAACTGCACTGTTCAATATGGTAGCCTGTAACCTACATATGGCTGTTGAAATTAAAATTAATTTTCTCAGCTGGGCAACGGTGGTCCACGGTTTCGATCATAGCATTTGGGAGGCAGAGCCAGGTGGATCTCTGTGAGTTTGAGGTCAGATCGAGTTTCAGGACAGCTAGGGCTACACAGAAAAAACAATTCCTCAAGTTCAAGAGCTCAAAAGTCACTCTTGACTAGCAGTGAAATCTAACAGGCAAAGCAAACATATAAGACCCCTGTGGCGGCAGAAGGTCCTACTGGAAATGCTATTCTAGAAAGCTCCAAGGCTTGAGCAGACACTACCACAACCCCGCCTATCAGGCCACTATCCATGTCAAAGGGACAGGTGAGCAAAATGGCATCTGGGTCCAAGAAACATCATCTCTGTATACATAGACCCACCGCAGGACCTGCCCTACTTTGCGACATCCTGGAAGGTACCAGATACAAACTTCCAACCTCATCTTACTTTTTTTTTTTTTTTTTTTTTTTTTGGGGGGGCATTATTAGCCAAGGCTGGCCTTGAACTCCTGATCCTCTACCTCCACTCCTCTACTGCTGGGGTTATAGGTGTGAGCCAGGATGCCTGATTGATTACCCACCTTTGAACCCCAACACTTACCCAACATACCAGGCTGAAACTCCATCCCAGCAGTCTGTCTCCTGTGCTGAACACAGGCTGACCTGAGCCTGTCAGCAAACACATCGGCTTTGAACATCTCTGGGCCTAATTCTAGAACACCCACTGCAGGCTCTGTCTCCTGCTCCTTTGTAGACTGTGGCCTTGCCTTGCCCCTGGCAAATCCAATCTAGAACAGCAATCAGTATCAACATCCATGACCCCTGCTTTCTGTCTTGTCCCAGGCCTGTGAATGGTACTCTATATTCCAGATTAGACAGCCGATCGACAGTGTCCCTTTCCGTTTCCCCTTGCAGAGAGCCCTTGGTCTGTGTTCAACCTTCGGCCCTGGTATTGAGGAAGGCTAAGTACACGCAGTAGCATGTTCTCTCTCCAGCCCAAGATGGGGTTGCCCCTTTTGAGAGGAAGAACCTGTAGCCTTTTCATCCTTTCCCAGTGGGGGGCATGCTGCTCTTGCCAGCAAAGGGTCTGTGTCCCAGCAGACATTTCCTAGAACAGAGCTGATCGGGAATTAAGTCCCACCTTAAAGTAGGGTGGAGTTCTTGGCTTTAACAACTTACCAGGGTGTTAAGGCTAAGATGCACAGAGAAGGTGACAGGTTACTGCTTGCCCCCAGAAGAAAGCACACGAATGTACATGACAACTGGCAGGCCATTTTTGGAAGGCTCTAGACCACTGCCAGTCTGAAGTCTCTAAGAGTGAATGCTGGCACAGCCTGGCTGGCATCTCTCCAGGCACGTGTCTGGGCCTGTGGTAGGGTTTCTGCCCCTCCAGGCTCTGACAATGATCTTGTTTGGAGTTTCTGCCCTCGATCTCCAAATCTCCCTCCCTCAGGCTCCACAGCACACCAGGCTTGTCACCCAGTTCTGACATGTGTGTGCATCCTGCCTGCCCTGCTCCAACTAGAGTCAGCAGAGGCTCACTTAGGAAGCCGGTTCTATCCCAGAGGCAACACAGCCTTTTCTCCTCTGGAGGGGCAGTCTTTTCTGGTCAAACTTTTGTTCTAGAACTCAGAGCTGGACAACAGTTCTGATCCTGGGGGACATCCAGCTTCTGTTTTCAGAGACAATTCATCTAGAACAAGCTGCTGCATTTTGACATACAGGCCACCGTTCATGGACACTTAAGGTCCGCTCTCAACCCTCACCAGAAAGCGAACTATTGTTAACATTCCAATTTCAGGGTCCTTCCTCCACACCAGTGCGGGATGGGAAATTTGGATCCTCCTACACTCTAGGTTAGCACTCTACCACTGAACCACACCCCAGCTCCTCACTGAGGGACTCTAGGCAGTAACTCTACCAGAAAGACCTGGCCTTGAGTTTCCATGGTAATTCCTCTAGGGATTACATGTCCAGCATCTATTTAATTTGATTTTGGATCATCGACATGAGGCAGTTCCTGCAAGCTCTTGAAGATTGCAGAAACACAGACTTTGAACAGCGAATGCCTCAGTAACATAGGACCTGACATTCATTATGGTACAGACCCATGCCCCCAGTCAACCGGTAGCACCACACCAACCTAGGCCATCAAGTAGGTCTGGTCACGTGTCCCTTAGAATCTGACAATTTTGGAGATCCTCAACTCTGTAATAAAATTGCTACCCAGCTGAAAACTTCATTTAAAATACTCATGTATTCTTGAAAAAGGGGGTGGCACAGGGCTCTAACCCTAGCATTTGAGAAGCAGAAGCAGGATTAGAAGTTTACTGTCAGTCAGTTACTTGGTGAGCTCAGGCTACAGGAGACCAAGTAGATCAACTGTCTTCTGGGTACGTCACCCGGTGTGGGCTCTGGGTGGCAAACGGGTACTCTGCAAGAGCAGCAAGCTCTGTAGCCCAAGGCCTTTGAGGGAGTCTGCGGGACAATGACAGATGGCTTCCTTCTTGTCGGCCACCATATTATAGGAATGCTCAGTGAGTTCCATGGAAATACCACTTGGTGAGTTAACTGAGGCCTCCAGCCCATGGCCTTGGGGACCCTGCAGCCACAATCCCTTGGGCAGCATAGCAGATGACATCTACAGTGGCTGCTTGGGGACGGAACCCTGTCCCCCCAACCCCCTGCCCCTGATCTAGACAAAGCATGAAAAATCCCTGCTTGTATGAGATCCTTGAATTTCAGGTCACCTGTACAGTAACCCTACGCTGTCTACCTGAGTGGGTTTCATCAGAGTCCCGTTGATAACCCGCTGCTCCCACCGCCGGCCGGCCCACCCCACCGCCGGCCCACCCCACCGCCGCAGACAGAGCACTCCAACCTGCTGGTAAAGTGTTGCTGTTGGGTTTCGTTTGGCTGGTTCTGTGTACACAGTGTATACAAGGTGAGTTGTACAGCGCCCAAGAGTAAGAGGTCAGGGAGAGGAGGGGTCAGGGCAGAGAGGAGCAGGGACCGGACAGAGAAAGGCATTAAAAAATAGAACCACGTTGAGAAGACAAAGGGAAGCGGGGTGGGGACGGGGACAGATGCTGTAGAAAAGGAAGAGGAGGGGCAGGGCGAGGGGAGCCTCCTCACCCTCCCTCTCCAACCCTCCCCACCCTACGTATGTACAATAAATAAGATTAAAAATAATTCACAAGATGTTTGGCCCCTCCCACCCAACACCACACGCCCTTGGGGAGCAGCCTTTAGCAAAGATGTTGGCCTGGAGGAGGAAGCTTGAGAGGGAGGGGTCCCCCAGTTCTCTCTCGACCACACATAGAATTCTCCTATACATTATGTACACAGTGGAGGGGCAGACGCGATGGCTGTGTTGGGAGGGCTGGGCCAGGGGCCAGGGCAAGTGTTACTAAATAGACATTTATACATATATATAAATAATTTCTCTGTACATGAATGGGGGTGGGCGTAGGAGGGATGGAGGGGAGGGCTGTGTGGATACACCCCAGCTGAGGACGGCCCCTTCCCTCCTGGCAGCGAAGGAGCACAGGGAGTCAGCTCCAGAGGACAGTTCTGTCAGTTCGCAGTTCACGGCGGAGGTGCCGTCCTGGCCAGGTAGGGTGCCGTCACCCGCAGCGGCTGTGGGCCTGTGCTTGGGCCAGAAGGTCACTGAAGGAGTCGAACAGCTGCTCTAGCCACGGCTGGTTCCGCATGCACTGCTGGACCACTTCCTCTTGTCCCAGGTCCTCGGCGCCACCCTCGATGGCTAGGGTCTGTGGGGGGGAAGGGGGAAGCTGCACAGGAAGAAATGGCTAGGGGAGGGATGGGACAGGAAGCCCGAGAGGGTGGGACCAGGGCCCTGAGACGGACGACGACCGAGTCTAGACCAGCGGTCCAGGGAGGAGGGCTAGGGGCCGGCAGCGCTC